GACATCCTCCTTCCATGGATATCATATTAAATTTTGAATGAGTCAGGGAGAGTGTGAGGCGGGTGTTCATCTGGGCTCCTTAAATTCTCACTCAACCCAAACTTATCCTACTCATATAGTGCTCAAATGAGGTCTAAACTCGTGATACATTTCCACTCCAATCATCCTCCTCATTTTCTTGCTGCCAGGATTAAGAGTCAGAGCTTCTTCAGCTGTAACCAGGCCAAATCACCTTGCACATGGCTGGGGTCCTTAAGCAGCATTACGGGTTACCCCTTGCATGTATGAGAGAAAGTGACCTACACAGCTGGTCCAGAATTAATTATTCTGCTATAATTTATCAGCTACAGAATAGCTTTCCTTGTGTAGACACCCTATTCTGGGATACAGTTTGTTTTTATTCAGGGATAATGCCTGCATTTCCAGAGCAAAATAATAATTATGAATAGAGCCATTTTTTATAGTGGAATAATGTACATGTGTAGTTTGTTCTTTATGGTCTTCAACAAGGCATGGTGGGAAGGGCTGGTGATTTTTCTCCTATACAGACAAGCCATTGATTGCCTCTGCATGAGTCATGGATAACATCATAGTACTTACTGGCACCGCATTACTTGAAATGATTCCTCTTTGTAAAAGGAATGTCTGTATGATCTCACGCTACAGTTCTGATGATGCTGCAAGAAAGCAGAATTTGAACATTTTTGCAGTTTTTCCCCAGGTGCAGGATCAGATTTCTTGTTTGTTTTCAGAGAAAAAGAATATCAAAAGTTGCAATTTTAAACGCTTCTTGTTCCTCACACCTTCAGCTTCAGAATTACTGAGGGCTTATGGAAGACTTGGCTTCTGTGAAGTAGCTCGCTAAAGTAGAAGGAAGATTTAGATGTGAAATTTGGATTCATGCTTCATCAGGAGTTATTTTCCTTTTTACTTTCAAAATGATGAATTTTAAAGACTTCCTTCTTGCTGCAGCTTAACGTAGATGCATTAGTTTTTAATGCTGATCTGCCACTGCCACCACTGCCTTCTAATAGGATACTTGTTTTGCTTCTTATTAAAATGTATGAAAGCTAAGAAATGTAGCTTGGGATGAAATCTTGAGTTACATGAACAGCAGACTTTTATTGCACAATGTGAACTACACCTGTGACTTTGTGTGTGTCTTAGCTCTCTGCTGCTTTTTGTGGCATCAGTCCATGGTCCAGTGAGATTAAAACTAATGGTGATGGATAACTTTATGCTCTTCAAAAACATCAGAAGGGTGTTTCCTTTCTGTTTGCACTCAGTTTTCAGGATGAGCTGAGCTATGAAGCTGTTGCCCGACTCAGGAGCGAGGGGGTTTGGCATAAAATGGGAGCGATGAGATTCGACAAGTTGACCTGGTTTTGCACTAGGGGTCTTGGTATTTGGCTAGTGCGAGTAAGTGTTTTAAAAGGAGCAAAGCACCTCCTGAAAACCTGCTACAAGGTAAAAGTTACTTTAGAAATTCAAGCTAAATATCCCAAAGTAACATTGAACATCTTACTTCCCTCCTTCTCCCTTCAATGCTACAGTGGTCTGAGAAACAGACTGTCTTCAGCACTGGGCTCTGGGGATGCTCATTCACCCTCCATTTACTTTTCTTCAACTCTTGCTCTCTTTTGTTACATAATTAGGCCTCGCCCACCTTCTGATCTAATGTTCTGCCCTCTTTTGATCTTGCTTGAGTGCTTATTAAAGGAGCAGGTGATTTATTCATTGCTTTGTTGCAAACCAGAAAGCTGCAAATGTGTCCTGTTTGTGATTGCTGCTGTGAGGAGATTGATGCTGTGGTGCTGATGTACTGAATTAAAAAGGTGGAGTGTTGGCCTGCCATTGTATGAGGTATTTCTTTCTAGATGTACCTTCAGTGTCATAAATGTGGCTAAATTCAGATATCATATTTTGTGCAGGCTGGTTCTAGGACAAAGCCCAGCCTTGTCGACTGGTGTTTATGGCTTCCCATATAAGCTTTCAGACAAAATTTGTGTCTCATTCTGTTTGAGTTACAGCAGGCTGGTATCCCAGCCCTTGTGCCAGTTCTGAGAAGAGGCACTGAATGTTGCACTGGAATGAAATGGAGGAAAGGGAAAAATGTACGTTCTAAGCTTCGTGTAAATCTCTGCTTGAGAGAGAAAATATTTGCATAAAGGATGGAAGAGGAAGGTCCTATAATGTGAAGACAAATGCATTTAAGCCTTGCCTTGCTCATGGTTCCTCTTTAAGCTCAGGAACTATGTCAGCGTTTAAATCTGTGTCTTGGGAGAAGGCAAACTTCAGCTCTTCTCCCAGCAGTGGAGAGTACTCTTGCTGCTGTGTGTCCTTTGCTTTCCTGTATGGCTACACAAGTTTAATTACAAATGCAGTTTCTCAAAAATATTTATTTCAGATGTAGTTCAGTTTATCTACAATTCATCCAGGAAGGTGGTTGGCTGTATTTGACTCCTTACTGAAGAAACAACACCCTTCCTCCCCTTGCTGCCTCTGGTTTCAAGGGGCGAAGTTCACTTTCAGTGACTGAGTTGTGCAGTTGTACACCAGCACGCAAACGATGCAGTGTCAAGGTGCTCTATAAACAGCAGAGCAGTAGTGGAGCTGCTAAACCACTGCTTGGTAACTTTGGTTCTAGAATTGGCATTGATCTTCTTTCTCCCTTCTCCGAGGGAGATGAGCAGGATGAGGTTGTGTTTCCCGAATACTTTGTTATTCATCGGTGAGATAAGAGCTCTGGGGCTCACACAGAGCAGCACAGCAGGCAGTGGTGGGGCGTTACCTGACCCCTGGCAAATGGTGCTCACAACTGCTCTTCGCTTCCATCCCTGTTGTGGGTTGATGTGGTGCTAACAGGCAGTGTGTCCATCCCTGCTATGCAGCACCTGCTGCTTTCTGCGCTCTCTCACTTGTGCCTCCTACTCTTTACACTGCTTGTAGCTTGGTTAGCCTCTTTGCCTAGAGGGACTATGTCTGTCTTCTTCCCGAGTTGCTTATTACTACTCGCACCTTCTGGCTTGCCGTAGAGAACTGGGGTCCCTGGACCCAGGGGCTGCGCAGGTGCCCATCACTCACATCTGGGTGAAATGAGATGTGGAAAGGAAGGCTAAAGTTGATTTTCTCCAGTAGAAAGTTGGTTGTCCCTGTGTGAGGTGTGATGCCATACCAAGCTGGCCCAGTCAATGCTCACATAGAGAAGGGAGGAGGAAGTTTCTCATCCTCTGGGTTTCTGCATTTCAGCTGGGTGCCCAGGTCTGTGGCTGCGTGCAGCCAGGAGGTGTTGTCTGTACTGGCATGTTACGAGAGATGGGCTGAAATGTTTATGCATGGCATAAGAAACGAGAGGACACTCAAGTGGGGTGCTTGCATGGCAGCTGCTCTGCAACTGCATTTGCTTGTCAGTCTGAGAGGAAACCCTGATCTGATCCCTCTGTGGAGTAGGGAGAGATGTGACTGTTGATACTGCTTTCTGCTGAGAATTTTTTTTTTTTTAGGCTTTTTTATTTTTTTCACATATTTACTCATTTCCACAAAGAATGTTCCAGAAAAACATTGACACAATTCAGTATACAGCATCAGTAAAGGCAGAAGTATAGTGATGAAATAAGAAGCGTTTAAGTGAGTGTAGATAATCGCAAGCCATAGAAAATAAATGAGCAGAATTTCAACTGAGAACAAAAGTGGAGCAAAGTCAAATGGATGAGATTTGCCCTAGAATCTGTCTACATTAAGTGAAGGCTTAAAAAATACACAACCTGAAAAGTTAGCTTGCATATTAGAGCTTTTACCTGCTAAATTGTGGCTGCAAGTATCTGAATCATCTGGCTTATAGCAGGTGTCATTGTTTGCGCAGTTGCTGCCTTGTGTATCTGCTCTCCCCAGTCCTGACAAACAGTAAAATCTCCACTAAACTTCAGCAAGAGACAGCAAGAGCTTTGACCTTAGGCTCTGTCATTGTTCCTTTGTTATCTGTGTGCATTATGGAACTGCTTCATTTTAATTCATTTGGTTTCTGTTTATTTCTTCCCTGGCAGTCCCTGGAGCTGCATTCATCAGCTTTTTGTTGGAGCGTATGCATTGATAGTTTGAAAGACCCACCATTTCTTTCTGGTAGAGTCACAGCCCAGATTGAATATATTGCACTATTAATTAGAGATCGGCCCAAACCAAAGACGTCTGTTTGATCCCTCCCTCCCTCTGGAATCTTTTCTTGCCTAGGAAAAATTGCTCAGCTCCGGCTGGGGAATTGACCATTGTGTTGTAGAGAAACTTCCGTGGTTTCCAAACGTGTTTCATTCTCCTCTGGAATTAAATCAGAAAATCTTTCTAAGCGTCTGTGAACTCTTGTGTAAAGGATTTCTCTCCTTCTCTCAAGTTCACTCTTCACTATAAATCCATCCCACTGAGACCCCTATCAAACCCCGTTTTTGTGTGTGTGAAAAGTTTGGGTTTCAAGAACACAAAGCCTTTATCGGTTTGCCACTAACTTCCCAACTGCTGCCCTGGCAAAAGTAGACTGGGAGTGATGCACGTTTGCAACCCCTATGGCATTGTGTTAGTGACATTGGGCTAAAGACAATGTTCTGATTTATTACTATTTGGTATGTTAGATTCTTACGTATGTTGAAACATGGATGAGGAGAAGTTGTAAGTTTGACCTGGCACTAAAAGAACAAAGAGCAACCAGCAAGAAGCTTAGAAACTTGACTGGGGTCTGGCCAGTCAGTCTCCTTGTTTTCTCCAGTCTTGATTAATGGCTTTCAAGTAGATCTTAGTTGGGGAAGGTGGAGAGGGAGCTTACAGCTGATGCAGTGGGACGTTTTCAGTGTATGACCTTTGAGCCAACTGTGTTATTCCGTGTTACCTTTGTCAGATTGTTCTGTAATTGTGGCTAGCAGTATTGATCTCTGAGAATACATTGCTTTTGAGGAAAACTGAGGGGCGTGCTAAGCAAACATTAGAGTTGTGTTTCTGTTTCCTTTGGCCTGCAGTGGTGGAGAGCCGAGGAGGGATCATGGACAGCATACAGAGATTTTCAAACCTCCCAGCGTACCTCCCTGCAAACTTTCAAATCTGCAATGCTGATACTTTCTTCTTCCTCAAAGAAGCCAACCAGGATATCATGAGGAACTCCAGCTTGCAGTCTAGGGTGGATTCATTCTTTATATACAAAGCCAGACTGCCACCTGTCCTAAATGCCACGTATGGACCCTTTTCTGTTGAACAAGCTGTTCCCTTGGACCTCATGCTGACTTCTGCATCTTTTGGTTTCTCAAACCAATTCACTTTTAATTGGAAATTAAAATCTCACATAATCAACAGCTCAATCTATTCCAACAAACCTAAAATACAAACCTTGTTCTATATTGTGGGGAAAGACTGGGATGACTATAATTCTGAGGAGATGTTGCCTTGTGTGAAGATGTTTGCTCTCCTGGAGTCTAGAGAAGTTGTGGCCAGCTGTAGGTTGACAGGTCATCTGGGATTATGTGTTGCAGAGCTGGAATTGTCTCCTACCTGGTTCAGCTCCCCTCCACCCTTGGTTTCAGAGGAAACAGCCTCCCTGGAAGGGATTACTGTGGAGCTCTTCTATAAGATTTACACAGCAGATGGGGAGTGTTCTCCAGAGGATGAAAAATGGGAAAACAATATCCATGCAGGTCAAGATAATGAACAGAAGGCTTTGTCAGCTATGGAGAGGATTGGTAGCATTGTTGTTTACCCAAATCAAGATGAATTAAAACAGTCTTCATTGAGGCTGGATGAAAATATCGTTATTCGCTTACCACTCAACCCGGTCAGAGAAGGTGACGTTGTGACCTTTCATGTTGCCCTGGCTGAGGACTCTCTAGCAGACCAGTTTGTATTAAGGTAAGAGAATTTTTAAAGTGCTCTATGCTGAACAGCCCCCAAGCAGGGACAGATCTGTGTCAGATGTAATTTTGTTGGTTACATTCAGGGTCTTCCACAGAGAACTTAAGCATTTCCTTTCCAACTGGGGAAAATGATAAATAGTTTGGAATTATCTCTGTGGATGACACTTTTTTGATCATGGGGATTGATTTTAAAATATGAGCTATAAATTTTTGTGTGATTATTTTTTTTGTTGTAACTCTGTTTGCTTCTAGTCATTATTCTGCCTCTCTAAGTCAGGCAGGGTAACTGTGGTGATCCATTTTGCTAGACAGTTTGCAGGAGGGTTTTCCAGGTCTTCAGTGAAGCTTCCTCTCCTTTTATCAACTTCCTCACCATCTTTCCAAGTACATGGGGTACATCTTGCACAAGGTCATATGTGGTGAGGAACTATTTTGTTAAACTCCACAGAGGGAGCTGAGAGGTGAGAAAACGAGACGTGCTTCAGCTTGCGTAGGAAGTCTTTGGCAGAGCCAGGATTTGGATCCAAACTTTGCAAGTTGTCTTCGTTTTTCATTCTATAAGACAGCCCATCCTTCCTCAAGCTTCAAGGTTTTGACTGCTTATTGTATGGGCCATTTTTGTTTTAAGCTTTGAGACTTTCTACTGACCTTTACTTGTGAATCTGACTGTAATAGGAGAATTCAGGCATTTCTAACCACCCCGAGGGTTAATGCTATATATTTGTTATGTCCTTAGCTGTCAGGCTGTGGGTTCAGAGCTGCATGGAGACCGAATTCAGGGAGAAATGTGAGCCAAACTGGGAGAATAGAAGGGCCAAAAGGTAATTGAAAAGTGTCATATGCAGTGAGAATGCAAGACGCTTGGGAAAGAAGGAGTTGCAGCCTGTGCTAGCAAACCTCAAATAGATTCATGCCTTATTTCCAACTTTTTGATCCAAGAACGACGGGAGCAGCACATGATAGAAGTGCACTTTGGGGACAGATGTTGAGAAAACAGACAGCAAACTTTATGCAGCACTTGGAAATTATTCAACATTTGTGAAGTAGCAGATGCATATTAATAAACCTGCAGATAGATGTGTAAATCAGCACAAGTGGTTCATAGCACAGTGCACAGGCAGAAGGAAAGAAATGGTCTGCAATATCCCAAGCACTACTCAGGGATGGGGGGAAATACGTGAGAAATATCACAGGGTTTAACTAGACTTTAAAAGGTTTCAGTAAGGAAATGTCTTCCTATAAACCCAACCTTCTTGCCTTTACATGGCTTTACTGATTTTTTTCTTCATTAAGTATGGTTTTGTCCAGTATCCACTGTCAGTAGATAGACCAACCTCATCGAGCAGTCAGCTTTCCAGTTGTGTATTGATCCTCAATGCTATAGCAGAGAGATTATAGAATTTGCCTAAGGCTCTGCAAAGATTTAACATTAGCTCTTAGTTCTCAGTTTTTATTTCTCTTTGCCACACCACAGATAAAATTCCCTAGGTATTAGAGACACTCTTAGATGAGGATGTTTTCTTTCCACTGGAATTTCTAAAATAACATTCACCTTGTAACAAATGATGCAAGCCTTGGGGCTTGATGTTTCTTCTGGCCAGGAAAGCACTAAAAACTTCTTGCTGAGCTAGTTTTGAAATGCTGTCTTTCAAAAGTAAAGTAGATTCTGGAAGCACTGAGCACAGCAACCAACGTGGGCTTTCAAGGAAGCAGAAACAGATGGAGTTGGGAGCCCCAGGATGAGCCACAAGAGCCTGGCTGCTGCTGAGACCCTCGTTGTCTCCCGCAGGCCTCTGTGACTTGCGTGTCCCCAGCCATCAGGCAGGAGTCACTCTGTGGCACGCTCCTGACCTGCAGCGTGTGCACTGCGGTGCTCCCAAGCTGCTGGGAAGGCAGTCAGGTTTCCATGGGGATTTCCTTCTTTGAAAAGTGTTAATTTTGAGGAGATGTTTCTGTTACAATAAATCAGCATGATTTTATATGCCCAGAAGTACTTCTTTGGAAAATTCAGGATTGGCTCTATGCAGTCTAAGCCTATCTGGTCCTTCTTTTGGCTTTGCTCGCACTGCGCTTTTCATCAGTGAAACTGCAAGTGTTTTTATTTAACCTTCAGTTGAATGCTGAAGAGACAGAAGGCCATTCTGCTCATGGTTCACCTGTCCTTCAGGATGGAGAGAGCACCAGCAACTGTTGCTATGAATATTTCAAATGACATACCTGGGGCCCATGGAGAGATTATTCAGCTGGAGTTTACATAGCAGGCAGGGAATTATGCCGAGGGAAATACAATCACTATAGTGCCTGCATCTAATATGTGCAGTTTCCCTTGCAGGCTTTCCCTGTGTTTCAGCTGAATGCTAATGTCTGTAAAAACCCAGAAGGTTTTTATATACATAGAATTTCTGTGTGTTAGAGCCAGAGAAAAATACATTGAAGTGAATGTTTGCCTAGGGAAATATATTTTTGCCTAATATAACTGATCATTTTTAATCATATCTGTTCTAAGTGTAGCAGGGTGAGCTGCAGTCTGGCTTATATGAGAAGATAGATCAAAATCAAGTCATTCTCAACACAGCGTTTGATGCCAACTTTGAGCTCTGACAGTATGCAAAAGAGGATATATGTTCAGTTTTATGCACCTCTTTACTATTTCATGCTGTGTTGTGTAGTATTTTAATTTATGTTGGATTTTGTTCTAGCAAAGCTGACTTCAGTTCTCATATAAAAGCAGTTTCTTCCTCATTTTGGTAAAATGTGGAATTCTTAACCAAGCTTGGAAACTGAAAACCAATTGGAAGCACTTTCTTGATTCAGCAGTATGGTTTGTTGAAAGATACTTGCTCTTCAAGCTCCTGTCCTTCCAGTAATGTCACTTACAGGGCGAAGCTTCAGCTGTCACTTCCAGTCCCTTTCATCAGTTCCAACTGGTTTGCTCTGGTTGAGCTAAACCTTGGTTGGTTGTTTTCATTCAGTAACTACAATTTAAGATTGGATTGATGCTCTGGTTGTGCTGAGGTCCAGGGAATTTGTTCCTTTTCACACTGCAATCCAGCCAATGCGGTATGGTGCAGTGAAGGACCCAGGTATGTCACAGGGTACAGTTTGGAAGCTGTGTGCATTTAATGCTCTCACTAGACTTGACAGTCAATATTGCTCAGTTTATTGATAGATGTTCTCTACATGTGTGCAGTGAAATTCTTATGACACTGGAGAGAGATTAATTTGTGGCCTTGCTAGTCTGGTCTGCGCTGTAAAATTTGCCATCTGTGAACATAAATTTTGCCCATTAAGTTTGATGAGTTACCACTAACCATGGGTTAACCGGAAAGATAGGTGGAATGGGCTGTGTTGCCATGAGTAAACTTTTTCATGGGCTACCTAGTTTAAAAAAAAAGAAAAAAAAAGAAAAAGGAAAATGAAGCACAACTTTGAGATTCCACTAGGACTAATACAGGCACCAGTGTCACACATATTCTGGTACTGTTTGTGTTTTGATGCACAGGAGTCTCTCTGTTAACTTTTGTACTGCTAAACTTAGGTGGAACATAGTAGTCAAGGAAATATGGAAACTGGGGCTCAAGAAGGGGTAACACCAATTTTTGTGCTATTTACTAAACAGAAGAAGTCTCATACAGATGGGAGTTGTAAAAGAGACAGGAGAGAACTATTCTTGCTTAACTGGAAGGAAGGAAAGCTCACCCAATAGCACTGGAATGGCTTGCATTTATTTTGTGATGTGTTATTATTTAATTCCATCTTGAGAATCAATGGGTGTATTTAAAAGAAAAATGGGGGTAATTTTGTACAGCAGGAAAACGTTTAATGGAATAAATGGACAACTGCTCCTTAGTTATAGGAAAGAAACCAGGATACTCTCTTTATAAATAAACAGCATACTTTTGTCCCATTTTCCAAGTCTCCCCATTGACACCATCAGTGAGGATGTACTTGTAACAAAGGCTGAGCGCTGACAATGATTTGTCCAGTCACAGACAAAACATGGGTTTGTTGGCATTCCTTGCATGTCGCTAAACATGAACAACCCATCCTTCTTTTAAGGCCAATCGGAATAGAACCAGAGAGATTGGAGATATTCCAGGAATATCTCCAGGAAGCGGCTGAAACCAGGTAATGAATCCCAGGCTAGAGACTTGAAAGCAGCTGGGATGCAGCCTCTGTGTGGAGGAGAATGGCAGGACCATGCAGAGAAACCTCACTGTTCTTGGTGCCTAGGCAACCTCAGGGAAAAGCTGCTGCTTTGCTCTGCTGTGCTCCACATAGTGCAGGGCAAAGATTGCTCTTTGATTTTTTGGATGAACCAGTACAAGGTGTAATACATGCCAGTTGGCTTGTATTGATTATTCTCACTAGGAAAAATGATATCAAGGATTTATATTAATAAACATATATCCATATGGAGGAGGTTATGTCTCCTGCTAAGGAATAAAAATTGCACAGACCATTAAAACTGACTTACAAGGCTTCTGCGTTAATAATGAAAGATCTGTAGAAGTCTGAGCAGTCGTCTAGAAGGCCAGAAAAAGATCATTAATAGGATGCCTCCTGCCAATAGCTGCCAAGAGCAAACAAAGGAAAGAAAACAGAAGGTTTTAGATCTAGAAATGCATAGAAAATGAGAGCATACAGACTGTGGGGAATGCAGCCTGGCTGTGAGTGAGGAGGAGGCTGTGCGTGGCCTTCAGTGCCTGTAACCAAGATGGTATGAATGGGGAAGCAGGGCAGGATTATTACTGGTGAGAGAAATGAATGATTAACTGAAGCATCGTTTTAGAATGAAAATTCAGCAGAACTGAAAGTGTTGAGAAGGGGGAAAAAATAGACTTCTGAAATTCATCAGAAGTGCTAGTTCACATGTAGAAATAATTACAGAATTAAAGCCTTATTGGCCACTTGGGAATATCTGGGTTTTATGCAGAGGTTTTAATAAACCCAGAATGAATGTTTAAATTTGTTATTTCTCTCTTCTCTGAGTAT